CTTCGGCCTCTCTGACTTTCTTTTGGGTTCCCTCAAACTCCCACACATGATTTTGGGAGCTTCCTGCAGAACACGAAATGCTCCTTTCCTCCAGCTCGCCAGTTCCGTTGCAGAGTAGGGGACAGGTCAGTGCTTTCGAGGAGCGACAAGTTTTCTGTATGGTGTAACCCCACAGGCAGCATGCAGGCAGGCAGGTTGCTCGTGCGCTCAGTGTAACCTCCCCCCGGCCCCCCAGCAGCCCAACCTACCTGAGCTCCAGGCAGCCCCAGCTGAAGGCCATGCCCTCACTCACTTTGCTGGCATACAGCTGCAATCTACTCACTCGGAGCTGGAAGAAAGCAGAAATATGAGAGGACCAGTTAAGGAGGCGGAGTAAAGGCAAATGGACCCTGACCATTTAGGTCCAGTCACGGACAGGACTGAGGCCGTTTTAGGCTTTTAAAAGTCAGCACCAACACTTTGAATTGTTGTCAGAAACGTTGAAGTTCCACCTTCTGGTTCAGAACGCACTTGCTAGTTTTTCCCCCCAAGTGTGCTTGAAATTTGATTTTGGATTCATCGCCTCCTCCTAGAATCTAGAACTGCAGAGCTGGAAAGTCACCCGAGGTCCTCTATCCAGTTGTTCCCAACCTTTTTTGGGCAAAGGCCACATTGTTTCATGAAAAAAATCTTCGAGGCACACCACCATTAGAAAATGTTAAAAATTAACTCTGTTGCTCTATATTGTACTATATATAAAGTATATAGTATATATAAGATATATATAAAGTATATATAAAGACTACGGATTTGTGTCACTGCCCATTTTCCATGAAAGATTTATTCATGCATTTTGACAATGCCACAATCCCACATGCAAATTTTAAAAAGATGGGAAACACTGGGCTATGCAGCTGAGGGTGCACCGCTTATTTGGCCAGCAGTGCAAAATAGCTCTGCTTTGCTAATACCTGTTTAGCTGAGCAGGAAGGGTTACGTGTCCAGCAGCGTAGTCCTGTGTTATCCTAGTGCATTGGCCTTTTCAGGAAATTGGAGTCAGCGGCACATTGTTGAAAGCAGGGACAGATTGGAGGTTTCAGCCTTTGGTATCTGGATGCCTGGCCTACCCAAGATGGAAAGCAAGGGCAGAGGAGCAGACCTGGTTGCTGTCTGACTGTATGCTTAGAGCAGGGCTGAGAAGGGCGTGGGCTGGGCTGTACGTTGTTGGTCATCTGGAGGGCTGCCCCGGAGAGACGGAGGCACGCACTCCCCTGGAACACCTTGACGCGCATGGTTCGTAACCCGGGTCATCCTCAGTCGTTGCGACATCGCGACCACAGACAGCCTCCCCGCCTGTCGCTTCCCATTGCTGGGATTTGCCCGGCTTTCAGTTTCAAGGTGAGGGAGGGAGGACTGCTCAAGACGCCAGTCGGAGGGGTCCTTCTCGGGCTACAAGGGAGGATTTCGCCCGCCGCCTCCACGACCGGCCTTCGCTTCACCCAGGGCCCCATCCTCCACCTTTTTGCACGCGCCTCCTTCCCGCACGCTTATCACACCCGTTCTTACGTGAAAAGCTGGCGGCAACTGCAGCTCCTCCTCCTCTAGAGACGAGGCGGGCGCTTGCTGCTTGTGCTGCCACTCGCTGGAAGCTCGCGATGGCTTCTCGTCAGCGAAGACTTAATGGTTCTCCCCTCCTCCTCCCCCCCGCTTCCAGGACGAATGGTACAGCGGAAGAAAGAGGACACTCGAACTCCGTGAGGAGGAGGAGCCTCGACTCCCCCTTAACACTTCCGCGCCAGCTGCGGACTTCCCTCTCTTACAACAGCCCTGTCGCATTTCAAGCGGTATTCTCCTACACTTTAAAAAGCGGCGACTTACCCCCCCAAGGAATCCTGGGAACTGTATTTTGTTAAAGGGTGCTGAGAAACGTTAGACTCCCACGGCACACCAGGCAACAATTTGCGGCACACTAGTGTGCCGCGAAACACCGGTTTGGGAAAACACTGCTCTAGTCCAACCCTCTGCCATGGCAGCAGAAGTGAATGGAAACTATGAACCTAAAGAAAGCCATCTTCCCTCTGCTCTTCTGGATCAGCTTCCTATTTCCCAACAGTGGGGAAGCACACAACGAGACTAGAAGGCAGTTTAAAGCCTAAACAGCCTCAGTCCTGTATACCTTGAAGGAGCTTCTCCACCTCCATTGTTCTGCCCGGAACACTGAGGTCAGCGCCGAGGCCTTCTGGCGGTTCCCTCCTGCAAGAAGCACAAGCTACAGGGAACCAGACAGAGGGCCTTCTTGGTGGTGGTACCCGCCTGTGGAATGTCCCCCACCAGATGTCAAAGAGAAAAACAACTATTTTGACTTTTAGAAAGACATTTGAAAGGCAGCCCTTGTTTAGGAAGAATTTTTAATTACTAGATGTTTTAATGTATTTTTAACCTTCTGTTGGAAGCCGCCAGAGTTGGCTGGGGTAGAAATAACAAATATTATTATTATTATTATTATCATTATTATTATTACTTACTACTACTATCTATTCCCTTCCATCTAAATTGCATCTAAACAAAAGAGCGACCCGCACATGAATTCACAAATTAATTCTCCATTGTCCAGCCTGAATCTGCATGGAGCCAGAGATCCATTGGAATAAACAAGGAATTAAACTTTGCCCACTTCTGGCCATGTCCAGCCCTGCCGCATATAGAAGCGAGGGCCACAATCGCCCCCTTTCCCACAGTGCACCAGAGACACTGTCTGAAATTCTGCAACACCGAACTTTCCTTTGCGTGGGTAATATGGACAGCAAGACCTGGAACTCGTGGCTGCAAGGGTGGAGTTTAGGGCCAGCTGGGAAGCTTTATGACAATTTGCAAAACTTCAGATGCAGCTTTCCTCACGCCTTAGAGCCTAAATCGTGAAAAGAGGTTTTGCACCCAGACATCATGAGATCATGGGTAGGCAGTTATAGTAAGGATGTTAAGACAATCGTATAGAGGCAGTAGCTGTGATGAGCCTGTGACGACTCTTAACGACTGCAAATGCCAACAGTGTCCTTCAGCTCTCTATATTGGACAAACAGGCCAAACCTTACGCCAAAGAATAAACGGACATAAATCTGACATCAAGAATCACAAGACAGAGAAACCAGTAGGAGAACACTTCAATCTCCCAGGACATTCTATACAAGATCTCAAAGTAGCTGTTTTACTACAAAGGAATTTCAGAAATAGACTGGAAAGAGAAGCTGCTGAATTGCAACTCATTACCAAACTTAAAACCATGGAGAGACCTGGTCTGAACAAAGACATTGGATTCTTATCTCATTATACATGACAAAGCCATTTTTCACCTTCTCACCCTTGCTTTTTCCTGTAAGACCTATTGCAGTCCCCGTTAAGAGTCGTCAACAGGCTCATCACAGCTATCTGCCAATCACCCATTCCCACCACCCTTCTGAGTAATACCCCTCCCCACCTTCTTCACTATATAGAAGGATCTGGCAACTTCTGTTTCAGTGTATCTGAAGAAGTGTGCATGCACACGAAAGCTCATACCAAGAAACTAACTTAGTTGGTCTTTAAGGTGCTACTGGAAGGAATTTTTTTTGTTTTGGAGTAATAACGTACAGGATATGTAAGCCCGTTTGCATGACCAGAACCATGCGATATTCATTTATTATTTTTGACATTGGTATGGAAATCTGTTCCTATACATTCAGGTTCTAGATAGGACTTTGCACTTTTGTTGTATTTGGCATCTGTTACTATACTTTTGTATGCTATAGATAAATACAGTCATACTCTTGTTACGGTTGCTTCATGTTACTTTTTTCAGGTTGCGTCCCGCAGCGACACGGAAGTACCAGAAGGGGTTACTTCCGGGTTTTGCCACTTGCGCATGCGCACAAAATGACATTCATGCACATGCACAGTAGCAGCGAATCACGACCTGTGCATGCGCAGATGCACAGACACGGGTTGTGTTCCTTTCATGTTGTGAAACGGGGCTCCGGAACAGATCCCGTTCGCAACCAGAGGTACCACTGTACATGTTTTTAAAAATATCAAAACCAACCGTAAATTCAGAAAATTGGAACAAGCCTGCCGAAATGAAAAGGTCTTCCTCATTGGTACCAGATGTTCAACAGGGAGGGGGCCCGTCTGATCCCAAATGGGGGGGAGTTCCACAGAATTGAGCCTACAAGACTGAACGCATGGCTTCTGCTGGACACATAGAGACCACTAGCAGGTAAAGGTAAAGGGACCCCTGACCAATTAGGTCCCAGTCGCGGACGACTCTGGGGTTGCGGGCGCTCATCTCGCTTTATTGGCCGAGGGAGCAGGCCATACAACTTCCGGGTCATTGTGGCCAGCATGACTAAGCCGCTTCTGGTGAACCAGAGCAGCGCACGGAAATTGCCGTTTTACTTTCCCGCTGGAGCGGTACCTATTTATCTACTTGCACTTTGACGTACTTTCAAACTGCTAGGTGGGCAGGAGCAGGGACCGACAACGGGAGCTCACCCCGTCGCAGGGATTCGAACCCCCGACCTTCTGATCGGCAAGCCCTAGGCTCTGGGCTGGGATCTAAGGGGTCAGGTGGTCCCTAAGGTCTACTGCACTCAAGTTGTTAAGGGCCTTGTAATTTTAGGCAAGAACTTGGCTCGGTAACCTAGGGGCAGCACCGCGGCTGTGCCGGCTGGGGCTGACGTAGTCCCAAACTTCTGGAAGACACCCCTTTTGGCAAAGGCTGGGTGAAATGTGAAGCTACCATGAAGCTTGAGGAGACTAGGAGAATGCAACATCCCACAAGGACTTTCCTCTCCACTTATTCCCCCAAAGCTAATATGCATCTCAGACACTTGGGAGATTGAGGGCTGTCCTTTCTTGGAGGTTTTGAAGCAGAAGTTGGCTGGCCATCTGCCATGGATGCTTTGGCTGAAGATGTCTTGAACTGGCTGAGCCTCAGGGCCCTTTCCAATGAGTCTGTGAACATTTTTGACATCCAAGGCACGTCTCACCTTCAGATTCTCCTGCATCTGCCTTGGGAAGAACAGATCAAGACCCACTTCCTTCCTAGGAAAGAGAAAGCAGAGAGGGCTTGTTATGTACTGAGTTGAATAGGATCCAAATGCAGCACTCTGATTGGTCTTAGAACAATAGGATCAGAATGCAGCAGTCTGATTGGTCCGCAGGAGCCACCCAATCCAGCTCCAGGTGGAAGTGAATCCGCAACCTGATTGGCCTATAGGAGAATCACGGAATTAGCAAATCACGTGGGGCCCATTGTGTAAATAATGTATATAAAGCAGACATTTCGGGGGAACTTCTATTCCTCACTACTAAAGGTAAAGGGACCCCTGACCATTAGGTCCGGTCGCGGACTACTCTGGGGTTGCGGCGCTCATCTCGCTTTATTGGCTGAGGGAGCCGGTGTACAGCTTCTGGGTCATGTGGCCAGCATGACTAAGCTGATTCTGGCGAACCAGAGCAGCGCACGGAAACGCCGTTACCTCCCGCCAGAGCAGTACCTATTTATCTACTTGCACTTTGACGTGCTTTCGAACTGCTAGGTTGGCAGGAGCAGGGACCGAGCAACGGGAGCTCACTCCGTCGCGGGGCTTTGAACCACTGACCTTCTGATCGGCAAGTCCTAGGCTCTGTGGTTTAACCCACAGCACCCACCCGTGTCCCATTTCTTCCTCACTACTATGAGCTGAATAAAGAGCATGAAATACACACTCGACTCCGACTATATTTCAGGGCTTTACATACTTGCTCGAAATGCATTTGAGGCAACAAATAGAAGAAGACGCCTTCACCGTGGTATGGCTCCCCTTTATCACATACACAGCCCAACAAGACGACGACAAGACTCCGCCGACAGCATACAAATCAATATGGCTAACCTGATCCAAAAACACACACATACCCCACTCACACACAAAAACATATCTCACTACAGCCAACCAAAGACAACCAACCCCACCCTAGGCCACCCTCAACTTCTCTGACCACCAAGGAAATACAACAAGCGAATAGTAAGAGAACCCACACAAATGACGCTGACACACAACCCCACACATACACTAAGTAGAAGAATAGAAGCATTGCCAACTGACCCCACCCCACCCACAATTCCCCCTCTTTCCCCCTTTCTTCCTAACCCAACGCTGTCAAGGTAAAGGGACCCCTGACCATTAGTTCCAGTCGTGGCCAACTCTGGGGTTGCGGCACTCATCTCGCTTTACTGGCCAAGGGAGCTGGTGTACAGCTTCCGGGTCATGTGGCCAGCATGACTAAGCCGCTTCTGGCGAACCAGAGCAGAGCACGGAAACGCCGTTTACCTTCCTGCCAGAGCGGTACCTGTTTATCTACTTGCACTTTGACGTGCTTTCAAACTGCTAGGTTGGCAGGAGCAGGGACCGAGCAACGGGAGCTCACCCTGTCGCAGGGATTCGAACCACCGACCTTCTGATCAGCAAGTCCTAGGCTCTGTGGTTTAACCCACAGCGCCACCCGCTTCCCTAAATTAGAGGTATTGCCTCTCAAATAACCCAGTTATCCAAAGAAGTCCACAGTTTATCAGTTAATAACAAGCGGGCACTAACAGAACACCAAAGTACCAAAGTGAAATGGTGACAACAAGAGCAGACCCCTAAGCTCGACACAGAATGCGCAGAGGCTCTTAAAACAAACTCTTCTTATTTAATCTTCCAACAAAAAAAGATCTGCGCGACAATTTGTCGAAGGCCAGATCAAACTCCTAACTGGAAAGGTGCCCAGCGTTCCAAACGACATTTATCAGACTTACTTGGCATTGGACAGAGTAGATGCACCAAGGGCTCGACTTGGTATCTAAAAATCAAAGAGACTCAAGGAGAAATTGCACGCCTGTAAGAATGTTGTCTACTTACTCTAGGAACTCAAAGTTGGATTTCTTGTCCAGAGCATTGTGAGGCATGTCCTTGTAGAACCTCCTGGGGATGGAGAGAGAGATGGTCCAGATTAGATGGGAAGGGAGCGTGCAGGTGCCATCAGTCAGGTGGGTTCAGTTTTCAGGGATAACTAACTGGGATCCCTCTGCTGATGGCCCTGAAGCCAAGCCTCCCCTTCCCTTGGTTTTTGTGATCCAGGAGAATTCCAAATCTAGTGCAAAAACCCATTGTGATCTTTTGGGTGCAACGACAGCTGCCAGAATACTGGTGGGTCCAGAGATGGAAAGATGGAAAAGTCCCTACCAGAGAGGAATGGCAAGTTAAACTGATGGGACTATGTTGAGATGGCACAAACGACTGGAAAGTCAGAAACCAGGAAGATCAAGGTTTTAATAAAGACTGGAAGAAATTTATCTTGCATTTGGAAGACCACTGTAAACAGCTGAGCTCTTTAACAGGACTTAAAGAACACTCATGAGCTAACAGAGACATAAGCTGTAAGAGTTAAATGGAAAATATGGAGGATATAAAATATGCAGCAAGAAATGTTAAATATGGAAACGATGGAAAGGTGGAGGGAGGTCTAAGGGTGCAATGGAATCTTGTATCTGTCTTTTTCTTTTGTTAATTATACTTGATAGGTAAAGGTAAACCCCTGACCGTTAGGTCCAGTCGTGGCCGACTCTGGGGTTGCGGCGCTCATCTCGCTTTACTGGCAGAGGGAGCCGGTGTACAGCTTCCGGGTCATGTGGCCAGCATGACTAAGCCGCTTCTGGCGAACCAGAGCAGCACACGGAAACGCCATTTATCTTCCCGCCAGAGCGGTACCTATTTATCTACTTGCACTTTGACGTGCCTTTGAACTGCTAGGTTGGCAGGAGCAGGGACCAAGCAACGGGTGCTCACCCCGTCACGGGGATTTGAACCGCCGACCTTCTGAACAGCAAGTCCTAGGCTCTGTGGTTTAACCCACAGCGCCACCCGCGTCCCGCATTATACTTGATAGAGACTGTTAAAAAATAATTGGAAAATGTTATATATATATATATATATATATATATATATATATATAAAACTCATTTTCCAAAACACCCCTTTTGTTTTTGAATGATTTTGTTTTTTTGGTGTTTGCCACTTGGGGCTTCCTGCAGGAAGGAAAATAAGTTAGATCTAAGCAAGAAATGAAACATGCAAATGTGTCATCCGCATATTTAAATTTTAAAAAACACTATCAAAAATCCTGGGCTGAGTCTTCAAGGGATGGGCTGCCCCTATGGGAGGGTTTGAGCACTGAGGTGGAAGGTGGCCAAAATCAAGCTAGATGCTGGGAAAGCTCACATTTGGCACTGGGAAAAAAGAGTTTTTGGTGAATATTGCAACATGTGAATTTTGAAAGTCACAAACTTTCCAGAGGGTGTTGCACTCCTGAAGATTCTCCCTGGTGAGCAGCGTGGGTCTCCAATGCTTGGGAGAAGAAAAGGAGTGGCATGCTTCCCACATTTATGAATAATGTTGTGGCTCCCCACATGTGTACTGGAAGAAGCAAAGATCAGCAGTGTCAAAGCAATGATTCTTCAACATCAGCTTCGTTGGACTGGTCATGTTGTGCGGATGCCTGATTATCGTCTTCCAAAGCAACTACTCTATTCTGAACTTAAAAATGGAAAGCCTGGTGCTGGTGGTCAACAAAAGAGGTTTAAAGACTCTCTCAAGGCAAATCTTTAAAAACGTAGTATAAACACCGACAAATGGGAAACACTGGCCTGAGAGCGCTCCAGTTGGAGAACAGCCTCTACCAAAGGTGTCCTGGGCTTTGAAGACACTCGAATTCAGGACACAAGGGAGAAACGTGCTAAGAGGAAGGCACGCTTGGCAAATTCACACTGGGATCAACTCCCACCTGGAAACCAATGTCCCCACTGTGGAAGGACGTGTGGATCCAGAATTGGCCTCCACAGTCACTTAGGGACTCACTGTAAAAACTGTGTTTATGGAGGACCATCTTACTTGGCTATGAGGCATCACCAAAGAAGAAGAAGTGTGGGGATGAGGTTTTTGGCCTTGGAAAAGTCAACGAAGAATCGCCAAAGAAGAAGCTTATGTGAGAACAGAGCACTGTGTAATCCATGTGTCAATGATAAGAACATAAGAAGAGCCTTTAGCTGGATCAGGCCAAAGGAGGCCCATCTAGTCTAGAAAACTGTCCTCACATGCCCTACAGGAAAACCCAGAAGCAGGAGTTGAGCAGAAGAACCCTCTCACCTCCCCTGGTTTCTAGCAACTGGGATCTGGAAGCATTGCTTCTGAAATTGCACCAGAGACACACACAGGAATCACTCTCTGCACCACTGTGGTGACACTCAATCCTAAATGGGCCCCATTTCTTTCTGCTGCATCCCTCCTGTACTTCTTCGGCCTCTCTGACTTTCTTTTGGGTTCCCTCAAACTCCCACACATGATTTTGGGAGCTTCCTGCAGACACGAAATGCTCCTTTCCTCCAGCTCGCCCAGTTCCGTTGCAGAGTAGGGGACAGGTCAGTGCTTTCGGAGGAGCGACAAGTTTTCTGTGATGGTGTAACCCCACAGGCAGGCAGGCAGGCAGGCAGGCTGCTCGTGCGCTCAGTGTAACCTCCCCCCGGCCCCCCAGCAAGCCCACCTACCTGAGCTCCAGGCAGCCCAGCTGAAGGGCCATGCCCTCACTCACTTTGCTGGCATACAGCTGCATGTACTCACTCCGGAGCTGGAAGAAGCAGAAATATGAAGAGGACCAGTTAAGGAGGCGGAGGTAAAGGCAAATGGACCCCTGACCATTAGGTCCAGTCACGGACAGGACTGAGGCCGTTTAGGGCTTTAAAGGTCAGCACCAACACTTTGAATTGTGCTCAGAAACGTTGATTTCCACCTCTGGTTCAGAACGCACTGCTAGTTTCCCCCCAAGTGTGCTTGAATTGATTTTGGATTCATCGCCTCCTCCTAGAATCCTAGAACTGCAGAGCTGGAAGTCACCCCGAGGTCCTCTAGTCCAGTGTTTCCCAACCTTTTTTGGGCAAAGGCACACTTGTTTCATGAAAAAAATCTCGAGGCACACCACCATTAGAAAATGTTTAAAAAATTAACTCTGTGCCTATATTGACTATATATAAAGTATATAGTATATATAAAGACTATATATAAAGTATATATAAAGACTACGGATTTGTGTCACTGCCCATTTCCATGAAAGATTTATTCATGCATTTTGCACAATGCCACAATCCCACATGCAAATTTTAAAAAGGATGGGAAACACTGGGCTATGCAGCTGAGGGTGCACCGCTTATTGCCAGCAGTGCAAAATAGCTCTGCTTTGCTAATACCTGTTTAGCTGAGCAGGAAGGAGTTACGTCCAGCAGCGTAGTCCTGTGTTATCCTAGTGCATTGGCCTTTTCAGGAAATTGGAGTCAGCGGGCACAGTTGTGAAAGCAGGGGACAGATTGGAGGTTTCAGCCTTGGGTATCTGGATGCCTGGCCTACCCAAAGATGGAAAGCAAGGGCAGAGGAGCAGACCTGGTTGCTGTCTGACTGTATGCTTAGAGCAGGGCTGGAGAAGGGGCGTGGGGCGGGGCTGACGTTGTCGGTCATCTGGAGGCCTGCCCCGGAGAGACGGAGGCACGCACTCCCCTGGACCACCTTGACGCGCATGTCGTAACCCGGGTCACCTCAGTCGTGCGAATGCGCACCCAGACAGGCCTCCCCCGCCGCGCTTCCCATTGCTGGGATTTGCCCGGCTTTCAGTCTCAAGGGAGGGAGGGAGGCTGCTCAAGACGCGAGTCGGAGGGGTGGCCTTCCGGCGGCTACAAGGGAGGATTTCGCCCCGCCGCCTCCACGACCAGGCCTTCGCTTCACCCAGGCGCCCCATCCCTCCACCTTTTGCACGCGCCTCCTTCCCGCACGCTTATGCACCCGTTCTTACGTGCAAAAGGCGGCGGCAACTGCAGCTCCTCCTCCTCTAGAGACGAGGCGGGCGCTTGCTGCTGCTGCTGCCACTCGCTGGAAGCTCGCGATGGCTCTCCGTCAGCGAAGACTTAATGGTTCCTCCCCTCCTCCTCCCCCCCCCGCTTCCAGGACGAATGGTACAGCCGGAGAAAGAGCGACACTCGAACTCCCGTGAGGAGGAGGAGCCTCCGACTCCCCTTAACACCTTCCGCGCCAGCTGCGGCTCTCCCTCTCTTACAACAGCCCTTCGCATTTCAAGCGGTATCTCCTACCACTTTAAAGAGCGGCGACTTACCCCCCCCAAGGAATCCTGGGAACTGTATTTTGTTAAGGGTGCTGAGAACCGTTAGACTCCCACGGCACACCAGGCAACAACTTGCGGCACACTAGTGTGCCGCGGAACACCGGTTGGGAAACACTGCTCTAGTCCAACCCTCTGCCATGGCAGCAGAAGTGAATGGAAAGCTATGAACCTAAAGGGAAGCCATCTCCCTCTGCTCTTCTGGATCAGCTTCCTATTTCCCACAGTGGGGAAGCACACAAGCGAGACTAGAAGGCAGTTTAAAGCCCTAAACAGCCTCAGTCCTGTATACCTGAAGGAGCTTCTCCACCTCCATTGTTCTGCCCGGACACTGAGGTCCAGCGCCGAGGGCCTTCTGGCGGTTCCCTCCCTGCAAGAAGCAAAGCTACAGGGAACCAGACAGAGGGCCTTCTTGGTGGTGGTACCCGCCCTGTGGAATGCCCTCCCACCAGATGTCAAAGAGAAAAACAACTATTTGACTTTTAGAAGACATTTGAAGGCAGCCCTGTTTAGGGAAGTTTTTAATTACTGATGTTTTAATGTATTTTTAACCTTCTGTTGGAAGCCGCCCAGAGTGGCTGGGGGTAGAAATAACAAATTATTATTATTATTATTATTATTATTATTATTATTATTACTACTACTACTACTATTCCCTTCCATCTAAATTGGCATCTAAACAAAAGAGCGACCCGCACAGTGAATTCCACAAATTAATTCTCCATTGTCCAGCCTGAATCTGCATGGAGCCCAGAGATCCATGGAATAAACAAGGAATAAACTTTGCCCCACTTCTGGCCATGTCAGCCCTGCCGCATATGAGGCGAGGGCCACAATCGCCCTTTCCCACAGTGCACCAGACACTGTCTGAAATTCTGCAACACCGAACTTCCTTTGCGGGTGGGGAATATGGACAGCAAGACCTGGAACTCGTGGCTGCAGGGTGGAGTTCAGGGCCAGCTGGGAAGCTTTGCAATTTGCAAAACCCTCAGATGCAGCTTTCCTCACGCCTTAGAGCCTAAATCGTGAAGAGGTTTGCACCCAGCACATCACTGAGATCATGGGTAGGCGTTAAGTGGTGTTAAGACAATTATAGGATAGAAAATAGAGGAAGATGGAAAGGAATTGCTGAAACAATCAATAGAAGTGGAATACAAAAAGGGAGGTGTGAGGAGGTCATGGAAATTAGCGAAAGAAGGATAAAATATTGAAATTGGACTGTGTTTTAAATGGTTTTTGTTTTGTTTTGTTAGTTGTATGTTAGTGTGTGTTTTTTATTGTATTGTATTATTGTATGTTTTTTCTTTTTTGGTTTTTTGTAGTGTTGTGTTCAATTTGTTGGAAAACTAATAAATATTATTATAAAAAAAAGAGAGAGATCATGGGTTGGCAAACTTAAGGCCTGGGGCCCAGATCTGACCCAATCGCCTTCTAAATCTGGCCCATGGACGGTCCAGGAATCAGCGTGTTTTCACATGAGTAGAATGTGTGCTTTTATTTAAAATGCACCTCTGGGTTATTTGTGGGGCATAGGAATTCGTTCATTTCCCCTCCAAAAAATATAGTCCGACCCCCCACAAGGTCTGAGGGACAGTGGACCAGCCCACAGCTGTCAACTTACAGAATAGAAAATAAGGGACCAGCAGCCTCGAAAATAAGGGATCAGCAGCCAAAATAAGGGATTTTCAGGGCATTGGTATGTTCAACTTCTGAGCCCCTCAGAGCCAAAGGCAGAAAGCCCAGCCAGCAGCCAAACGAAGCCTCAAGCGGTGGTTCCCACAGCGCAGCAACCCGGCAAAGGGGATGCAGCAAGGAAAACCACCGTCACCTCTCCGCTGGGAAGCGCTGAGCAAAGGTGAGTCCCCAGGCAACGCGGCCGATTTGATGGGCACAAGGCATGCAAGCGCCACCCCCCAGTCGTTCTTAGACTCCTTATTGGGTGAGCAACGCAGCCAAGCAACACAGTTGGAGCCTCCCTCCTCCCTGGCCGGCAGGGAGGGAGGGAGAGGAGCTGCTTCCTTTGAAACCCAGGAAGTTTAAGGGACATCCATCAATCCGGGACAGCAGTGGGACACGGCGCTGGGATAAGGGACCTTCCCGCCAAATAAGGGACGGTTGACAGCTATGGACCGGCCCCCTGCTGAAAAAGTTTGCTGACCCCTGACTGAGACCGTTCAGCTTCAAACCAAGCTCTTACTACTCACTGAGCCCCCAATGTTACGAAGAAGAGAATGTTTTCTGAACAGGCAGGGTGAGGCAGCTGGTTCGGGTACTGCAGCCTCCCCCAACCTGGTGCCCTTCAGATGTTTTCCACTACCCAGCTGGGGCTGATGGGAATTGTAATCCAAAACATCTGGAGGGCACCAGGTTGGGGAACGCTGGCTGCTAACGGATTCTGAGTGATATGAAAAGTGACAGCCGTCTGCAAGGTTTCAGCCGCAGGCACGACATACCAGACATTTCCGCTGCGCAAGGTGTGCTTGGACTGTGCAAAGGGGCTTTACTTTGCCTGGGGGGGGGAATCCCCTTTTGGGGTTCCCCTTCTTGGGTGCCGAAAAGGGCATGCCGTGAAGCACCTGGTTTCACTTCCATCCTTGCACCCAATCGACTCCCTGGTCCTGAATGGGGTAACTGTGTCCCTGAAGGACCAGGTGCGCAGCCTGGGAGTCATTCTGGACTCACAGCTGTCCATGGAGGCGCAGGTCAATTCTGTGTCCAGGGCGGCTGTCTACCAGTTCCATCTGGTATGCAGGATGAGACCCTACCTGCCCGCAGACTGTCTTGCCAGAGTGGTGCATGCTCTATATATCTAAGTCTTGGGACTACTGCAATGCGCTCTACGTGGGGCTACCTTTGAAGGTGACACAGAAACTACAACTAATCCAGAATGCGGCAGCTAGACTAGTGACTGGGAGTGGACGCTGGGACCACATAACACCGGTCCTGAGAGATCTGCATTGGCTCCCAGTATGTTTCCGAGTACATTTCAAAGTGTTGGTGCTGATCTTTAAAGCCCTAAATGGCCTCGGTCCAGTATACCTGAAGGAGCATCTCCACCCCCATCGTTCTACCCGGACACTGAGGTCCAGCGCCGAGGGCCTTCTAGTGGTTTCCTCGCTGCGAGACACCAAGTTACAGGGAACCAGGCAGAGGGCCTTCTCGGTGGTGGCACCCACTCTGTGGAACGCCCTCCCACCAAATGTCAAAGAGAACAACAACTACCAGACTTTTAGAAGACACCTGAAGGCAGCCCTGTTTAGGGAAGCTTTTAATGTTTGATGCATTACGGTATTTTAATATTTTGTTGGAAGCCGCCCAGAGTGGCTGGGGAAGCCCAGCCAGATCGGCGGGGTATAAATAGTAATAAATTATTATTATTATTATTATTATTATTATTATTATTATTATTATTATTATTGCAGCAGAAGAATGGTTTCCCTTAAGACGCTGAGAAACACATCAAATTCGATGTACACAGGAGCATTGGAAGATGCTTCATGCAGGAAGATGCTCAGCAGAAGACTCAGGGCTGCGGGTTCGAATCCCACCTTGGGCAACAGATTCCTGCATTGCAGCGGGTAGGACTAGGTGTCCTTCAGGGGTACCTACAGTTCTATGATTCTACCTCAGTACTGTCCTGCTGGCAGGTAGGACTCCAGGGTTTCAGGCTCGAGTCTTTCCCAGCCATACCTGGAGACGCCGGGGATTGAACCACCGACCTTCTGCATGCCAGGCAGCTGATCTATGGCAGACCTACCACCCTTTTGCCTATGTGCAAAAGGAGAACACAGCACCATATGGCTCAACACAGCTGCACCCGGGATAAACGCAAAGGCTCCAACCTGCTGGTAGAAATACAGGAGCGTCGTCCGGTCCTCTTGGAAGCGTTCTACGTAGTCCTCCGGGAGGTAGCGGATCTGGAGGTCGTACCTTAAAAGGACAGGACAGTTTATCTTACGATACCCATCGCTTCACCTGACTGAAGATCACATCCATCATCTCCACACCTCTCTCCGGTTTCGCTGGCAGGATCTTATCTTTGGAACTCACTGGTCCGGAGCCCCATTCGCAACATGAGCAGAACGCAACCCGCGTCTGAGCATGCGCAAGTCGCGATTCGCCACTTCTGTGCATGTGCGTGACGTCATTTTGAGCATCTGTGTATGCACGAGCGGCAAAACCCAGAAGTTACCCTTTCCGGTACTTCCGGGTCACCGCGGGATGCAACCTGAAAAGATTTAACCTGAAGCAAACGTAACAAGAGGTATGACTGTACAGTGGTACCTTGGTTCTCAAATGCCTTGGTACTCAAACAACTTGGAACCCAAACACTGCAAACCTGGAATTAAATTTTCCAGTTTCCAAACGTTTTTCGGAAGCTGAACGTGCTCTGTTTTACAACTCCCATCAGCTCCACCAACGCAGCCCTTTTGGACTACAACTCCCATCCGCTCCAGCCAACACAGCCCTTTTGGACTACAACTCTCATCTGCTCCAACAAACACAGCCCCTTTTGGACTACAACTCCCATCAGCTCCATTCAACACAGCCCCTTTTGGACTACAACTCCCATCTGCTCCAGCCAACACAGCCCCTTTTAGACTACAACTCCCATCTGCTCCAACAAACACAGCCCCTTTTGGACTACAACTCCCATCTGCTCCAGCCAACACAGCCCTTTTGGGCTACAACTCCCATCTGCTCCAGCCATCGCAGCCCCTTTTGGACTACAACTCCCATCTGCTCCAGCCAACCCAGCCCCATCTGGACTACAACTCCCATCTGCTCCAGCCAACACAGCCCCTTTTAGACTACAACTCCCATCTGCTCCAACAAACACAGCCCCTTTTGGACTACAACTCCCATCAGCTCCAACACAGCACTTTTGAGCTACAACTCCCATCAGCTCCAGCCAACGCAGCCCTTTTGGACTACAACTCCCATCCGCTCCAGCCAACCCAGCCCCATCTGGACTACAACTCCCATCTGCTCCAGCCAACACAGCCCCTTCTGGACTACAACTCCCATCAGCTACAGGCAACACAGCCCCTTTTGGACTACAACTCCCATCAGCTACAGGCAACACAGCCCCTTCTGGACTACAACTCCCATCAGCTACAGACAACACAACCCCTTTTGGACTACAACTCCCATCAGCTACAGACAACACAACCCCTTTTGGACTACAACTCCCATCAGCTCCATTCAACACAGCCCCTTTTGGACTACAACTCCCATCAGCTCCAGTCAACGCATCCCCTTTTGGACTACAACTCCCATCAGTTCCAGCCACCCCAACTCCTTTTGGACTACAACTCCCATCAGCTCCAGCCAGCCCAACTCCTTTTGGACTACAACTCCCACCAGCTACAGTCGTTGACTTCCTACCTCCACTCGGCTTCGATGTGCAGACACTCATACTTGTCCTGGACTTCCCCCACTGTCAGGTCCGGGTGGAGCCAGTGGATCTCGTCCGATTTCACGTGCTTCAGGCGTAATCCGTAGCACTCGGCGAGCTGGATGTCCGGACCGATCCTCCCGCTCTGTAGGATCGACTTGATCACTTCCTGCAGAGCAGAGTTGCAGTGAGAAAGCAGGAAAGGCCAGGGTTGTGTGTGTGAGTGTGTGTGTGTGTTTGTGTGCAGGACAAAGGGGTGGGAGAAAAGAAAAAAGTTGTGACAATCCTGTGCAATTTGGAGAAATCAGATTCCAGAGGAGGGGGGAACCCAGTCATTTTGACGAAATTGTGCTTTAAAGGCAATTCGCCCCACTCCAAAGATTAGATTGAGACTTAATCAAAATTTGAAATAGAGGTATTAAATAATAAGTATAAAATTTTGAGAAAATGTATAAATTGCTGCTTGAATGGCACTTGAAAGGTGAAGAGGTAAAGTCGGTTCTGATACATTGGTCCAGAGATTTTGGGTATAATATACAGCTAAAAGATTGGGAAAAACTGTGGAAAGAAGGATTAAAATTTACTGCATGCAATGCTTTGAAAGAAAATGTGGTGAAAATGATGTATAGGTGGTATATTACCCCTGTGAAATTAGCTAAAATATATAAAACACGTAATAAATGTTGGAAATGTAAAGAAAAGGAAGGAACTTTTTATCACATTTGGTGGGAATGTAAAAAAGTGAAAAACTTCTGGGAAATGATATATAATGAGATGAAAAAGATGTTAAAATATACATCTATTAAGAAACCAGAAGCATTTTTACTTGGCATTGTAGGAGATGATATTAATAGACAAGATTGTTAGTTGTTTTTATATGCAGTGACAGCAGCAAGAATATTACTGGCACAAAAATAGGAAAAAAAGAATTACCGCCAAAAGAAGAATGGCAGATGAAACTGATGGACTACGCAGAATTGGATAAATTAACAGGAAGGATTCAAAACCTGCGGGACCAGAGATTCTTAGAAGACTGGAGTAAATATAAGAACTATTTGAAAAGTAATTGTAATGAACAGATTACGCTAGTAGGACTGCAAGAAGTCTTGTGAGGATGATTATTTGAAATATTGCAAGAAAGATTGTGAGGAGAATTGTTAGTTAATGATAATTAAGAGTAATAGAGAAATTAAGAAATGCAGAATAAGTGATAAAGAACGGAAAAGCATCAGTGGTGTTGATGGAAGACTAAAATATTGTATAAGATAAGAAGTTATGTGATTGTTGGAAATGATATGTTAAAAAATTTAATAAAAGTGTGTGTGTGTGTGTGTGTGTGTATTAATTAGATTGAGACTTAAAGGGCACTGGATTGCTATAAAAAGGAGGAAACTGGTTTTTTTAAAAAAACCTGCTGCTTGTTTTTACTGCAAGGGAAATGTGGCCTCGCTGGTCCATATGCTCTGGGAATGTTCTGTCATGTACTTCTTATGCGCAAGATGTTTTCAGATGCTCTAACGCCCATCTGCGGGTTCCCACTTATGCAAGCCACCTTAGGTGATCCTCCTGGGCCCATCGGGCTTGACATTCAGGGACATGTAACGAGCCCTTCTCTGCATGTTGAGATTTTGGAGAACTAAGACTTTCCTCAAAGGTCCGTATAGTTCAAGATATGGTTTCCCCAGTAGTGATGTATGGAAGTGAAAGCTGGACCCTAAAGAAGGATGATCGCCGAAGAATAGATGCTTTTGAATTCTGGTGCTGGAGGAGACTCTTGAGAGTCCCATGGACTGCAAGAAGATCAAACCGATCCATTCTGAAGGAAATCAGCCCTGAGTGCTCACTGGAAGGACAGATCGTGAAGCTGAGGCTCCAATACTTTGGCCACATCGTGAGAAGAGAAGACTCCCTGGAAAAGACCCTGATGTTGGGAAAGATGGAGGGCACAAGGAGAAGGGGACGACAGAGGACGAGATGGTGGGACAGTGTTCTCGAAGCTACCAGCACGAGTTTACCAAACTGCGGGAGGCAGTGGAAGACAGGAGTGCCTGCCGTGCTCTGGTTCAGGGGGTCACGAAGAGGCGGACACGACTAAACGACTAAACAACAACAACAACAACAAGACTTTCCTCAGGGAACCCAAAAACAGATTACGGGTATTTGAGCATCTCCAGAAAGAATCCCACCCCTATTAAACAACAGTAATTGGATAGGTCAGGGTAGGGGCAATTAAAGGAAACCTTATTCTGGAGAATTTTGTTTTAACCTCTAAGGCCGGCATCCCCAACCTGCGGCCCTCCAGATGGTTTGGCCTACAACTTCCATGATCCCTAGCTAACGGGTCAGGGATGATGGGAATTGTAGTCCAAAACATCTGGAGGGCTGAAGGTTGGGTATGCCTGCTCTAAGGTTTGGTGTAAATAAAGTGTAAATAAGTAGAGGTTATATACCAGTAATGAGTTGCTCTCATTTCATTTTATCTGTTTCTTTCTTTCATTATTGCTTTTCTATCCATTCTTAAGGGTGCTCAAAGTGGCAGGCCTTTATCTATTTATTAAATTTCTATAGCACCCTTCCTCCGGGGATCACAGGGTGCTTGACTATATAGTTCCCCCACCTCTCCTCCAGTGACCGCAGCAACATCACCCAGTGAGTTTCATGGCTGAGTAGGAATTTGAACCCAGGACTCTCCCACGTCCTCTCTAACCACTATGCAATGCTGCGCCTGAGTTTTAAGTAGTCTTAAATGTTACGATGCACAGGAAAGAGACAATAAGAGGCCAAGGAGTGCAGGAGAAGGGCCCATATGGTATGCAGGATGAGACCCTATCTGCCCGCAGACTGTCTTGCCAGAGTGGCACTTGCTCTGGTTATCTCCCGCTTGGACTTCTGCCATGCGCTCTACTTGGGGCTACCTTTGAAGGTGACCTGGAAACTACAACTAATCCAGAATGCGGTAGCTAGACTGGTGACTGGGAGCGGCCGCCGAGACCACATAACACCGGTTCTGAGAGATCTGCATTGGCTCCCAGTACGTTTCCTTGCACAATTCAAAGTGTTGGTGCTGACCTTGAAAGCCCTAAACGGCCCTGGTCCAGTATACCTGAAGGAACGTCTCCACCCCCATCGTTCTGCCCGGAGGTTCTGGCGGTTCCCTCTATCCGAGAAGCCAAGTTACAGGGAACGAGGCAGAGGGCCTTCTTGGTGGTGGCGCCCGCCCTGTGGAACGCCCTCCCACCAGATGTGAAGGAAATAAGTAGCTATATTTAATGCTGTATTGTTTTTAACACTCTATTGGAAGCCACCCAGAGTTGCTGGGGAAACTCAGCCAGATAAGGCGGGGTATAAATAATAAATTATTATTGTTGTTGTTGTTGTTGTTGTTAATAAATCAATAAAAACAAACAAGTAAGTTGCCTCCCTCTTCCCCCGACTGCCACCACCCTCCGATCTTAGGCTGAGCCCCCAAAACCCCTTTTCCCCGTGACAGTCTCACCCTGATCTCGGTCATGACGGTACATTTGACCAGCTTGAAGTTCTTCCCCATGTTGAAGCTGTTGCTGTGGAAGCAGACCTTGAGGATCCGGACCTCGTCCTTATCGATGTCGATGGGCACGGCCACCATGGTGGACTCCGAGGGCCCCGCCAGGCTGAAGCAGCTGCGCAGAGAGTTCGCCCTCAGCCGGCTCAGCGCCTCCGGCAGTCCGGACATCATTTTGAGCAGCGGCGGCGGCAGTGGGGTAGCTAAAGCCGGAACATCACTCCCTGGAGAGACAGGACGCGAGAGGAGAGGGGTCAGGTGGAAAGCAGCTCAGATCGTATAAAAACCCTAGGAATTGTAGGGCCAGATTTAGGTTTGACGAGGCCCTAAGCTCCTGAAGGTAATGGAGCCCTTTATATGTCCAGCTGACCCTAACTGACCAGCAGATGCTCTCCAGAATCTCAGGCCAAGAGAGATCCTTTGCACCAGGTCCTTTCAAATCACAGATCCTGGGGTTTAGACTGGCACCACCTGCATGCAAAGGAAGTGTTCTGCCAGCTTGTCCAGATACCCAGAGGGACCAGCTTTCATTCCTGTAATCTGTGGGTGCACCCCCTGTCCAGGGCCAGATTGAGGTTGGATGAGGCCCTAAGCTCCTGAAGGTAATGGGTCCCTTTATATGTCCAGCTGTCCTTTGACAGCAACAAATTGTCCCTGTTTTTTGTGTTGAATATATGCTATATGGTAATTGATGGACCTCATATGTATCTAAAGCCAATAATAATAATAATGATGATGATGATTTATTTATACCCCACCCATCTGGCTGGGTTTCCCCAGCCACTCTGGGCGGGTTCAAACAAAACACTAAAATACATGCCTTCAGATGTCTTCTAAAAGTTTGGTAGTTATTTTTCTCTTTGACATCTGGTGGGAGGGCGGGTGTCACCACCAAGAAGGCCCTCTGCCTGATTTCCTTTAACTTGGCTTCTCGCATAGAGGGAACCGCCAGAAGGCCCTCGGAGCTGGACCTCAGTGTCCGGGCAGAACGATGGGGGTGGAGACGCTCCTTCAGGTATACTGGACCGAGGCCGTTTAGGGCTTTCAAGGTCAGCACCAACACTTTGAATTGTGCTCGGAAACATACTGGGAGCCAGTGTAGGTCTTTCAAGACCGGTGTTATATGGTCTCGGCGGCCACTCCCAGTCACCAGTATAGCTGCTGCATTCTGGATTAGTTGTAGTTTCCGGGTCACCTTCCAAGGTAGCCCCACGTAGAGCGCATTGCAGTAGTCCAAGCGGGAGATAACCAGAGCATGCACCACTCTGGCCAGACAGTCCACAGGCAGATAGGGTCTCATCCTGCATCCCAGATGGAGCTGGTAGACAGCTGCCCTGGACACAGAATTGACCTGCACCTTCATGGACAGCTCTGAGTCCAGAATGACTCCCAGGCTGCGCACCTGGTCCTTCAGGGGCACAGTTGCCCCATTCAGGACCAGGGAGTCCTCCACACCAGCCCGCCTCCTGCCCCCCCAAAAACAGTCCTTCCAACAGAGGAAGAAGCACTGCATGTCCCCAAAAACCCAGGGTCCCCCCCATGCTATTGCCCTTAGGCTAGTCTTCCCCTCGATATGCATGTGTGAATGTTGTACAAACTCAATCCAACCAAGGTACATAGGAAACATTCCCTGCCGGCGCGTTTTTCAGAGTTGGGGAAAGCTGCACCTGTTGAATTCCTGCCTGACACGTAGCTGTCAAAGCCGCAAGAGCTCTGCCCGGAGGAGGAAGCGTGCCTTGCTGGTGTCGCTCTTGCCCCAACCGGGCAGGAGGGGGCGAGAGAGCCGCACAAACGCAGCCTGAGCTTTCCACCCCGGGAGAGGAGAGACATTTGATCTGCAGAGAGTGTGATTCTCACAAGTACAGGCGCTTCCTGGGGGAGATGGAGCTGGCTGGCTCCTCCAGCCTGCTGCCACCCGCAGCTCCCTGCCAATTCCAACTCTCCATCTGGTAGCCTAACTAAGTCATGCATGCTATTCCCTGCTGATTAGGAGGAATCTGAGCCAGGATAGGGGCCTCTCCCCTCCTTTGATATTAACGTATGACACAGGGATCTCTGACTTTTAAGTCCACTCGTGGCCGACTCTGTGGTGGGTGGCTGAGGGAGCCGGCGTACAGCTTCTGGGTCATGTGGCCAGAGCAGCGCACGGAAACGCCGTTTACCTTCCCGCCGGAGCGGTACCTATTTATCTACTTGCACTTTGACGCGCTTTCAAACTGCTAGGTTGGCAGGAGCAGGGACTGAGCAACGGGAGCTCAGTCCGTCGCGGGGATTTGAACCGCTGACTTTACGATCAGCAAGCCCTAGGCTCTGTGATTTAACCCACAGTGCCACCCACGTCCATTTTAGATGCATTTTAGGTGCATTTTAAAAGTAAAGGTAAAGGGACCCCTGACCATTTGGTCCAGTCATGGCCGACTCTGGGGTTGCGGCGCTCTTCTCACTTTACTGGCCAAGGAAGCCAGGGTCACATGGCCAGCATGACTAAGCCGCTTCTGGCAAACCAGAGCAGCGCACGGAAATGCCGTTTACCTTCCCGCTGGTAAAGGTAAAGGTAAAGGTACCCCTGCCCGTACGGGCCAGTCTTGCCAGACTCTAGGGTTGTGCGCCCATCTCACTCTATAGGCCGGGGGCCAGCGCTGTCTGCAGACACTTCCGGGTCACGTGGCCAGCGTGACAAGCTGCATCTGGCGAGCCAGCGCAGCACACGGAACGCCGTTTACCTTCCCGCTAGTAAGCGGTCCCTATTTATCTACTTGCACCCGGGAGTGCTTTCGAACTGCTAGGTTGGCAGGCGCTGGGACCGAACGACGGGAGCGCACCCCGCCACGGGGATTCGAACCACCGACAATGCGATCGGCAAGTCCTAGGCGCTGAGGTTTTACCCACAGCGCCACCCGCGTCCCCTCGCTGGAGCGGTACCTATTTATCTACTTGCACTTTGACGTGCTTTCGAACTGTAGGTTGGCAGGAGCAGATACTGAGCAATGGGAGCTCACCCCATAGCAGGGATTCGAACCGCCAACCTTCTGATCGGCAAGTCCTAAACTCTTTTTGTTGTTGTTGTTGTTTCAGTGCTATCTGGACATACCCTTTATTTACGTATACATCTTTCAGATTCTGCTTGATGCACTATTTTAGAAATGTGAAAGGGGGGGAAATTAAGGCGAGGGAGGTGGCACGACTTTCATTTGAAATGAATTCTTTTCAACCCTACGTAGAACTCTTTAACAGGTCAGAGGCGGGATTTTGGAAACGAAGGAAAGATGTGAGTGAGTTAAGTTTCTCCAACCTGAGTGGTTAGAGCACGATCCAGCAGAAAGTTCTGAAATTCATTTCCTAGTGCCTTCTCTACAAATTTAATTCATTTTGTATCTGCACAGGAATCACAGGATTGGAGGGTCGGGAGGGTAATCTAGTCCAATTGCCTTCGATGCAGGAATCACGACTGAAGCATCCATGACTGACGGCCGTCCAACTTTTGCTTAAAAGTCTCCAATGGAGGAGATTCCGCAGTTGATGGACTACATGGAATTAGCTGAAATGACCGGCAGAATCCGAGATTTGGATGAAGAAACAATTGAGGTGGATTGGAAAAAGTTTAAAGACTATTTGCAAAAATATTATATGTTGTATGAATCTTAAGTCAGTGCACGATTAGGAAATGTTATGCTTTAGCAAATATGATTAAGTAAATGGTAAAATAAGTGACAAAAGAGATAAGGAGACAATTTGAATCAAAACATTATGTTTATTTTAAAGGTATTAGAATTGAGTTACAATATACTGAATTTGAAGACATAATGACTGAAAGTTACAATAAGGTTTGAAATAAGGTAACAATTTGTTGACATTGTTATTTTAAAGAACGCAGATCTGGAAGGTGTGGGGAAGTCCAAAAGGGATCTACGGAAAGTTGAAATATTACATATTTATAATCTTTTTGGGTATTTTCTTTTTTTGGTAAAAAAAAATAAAAAATATTTAAATTAATAAAATAATAATTAATAAAATTAATAAAAATAATAAATAATAAAATTATGAAAAGAAACGCAATAAAAAATATGATAAAAAAAAAACAATGGAGGAGATTCCGCCATCCTCAGAGGGAGTCCGTTCTACTGTCAAACAGCTCTTGCCCTCAGAAAGTTCTTATTTATTTATTAAATTTGTATACAACCAATCATCCGAAGATCTCAGAGTGGTTCACAAGATGACAAAGTTCTTCCTGACGTTGAGTTAGAATCTCCTGACGTTGAGTCAGAATCAAGTTACAGAACCTTGTAACTTGAAGCCATGGGTTTGAGTCCTACCCTCCGGAGCAGCAGAAAACAAGCTTGCTCCTTCTTCCATGTGACAGCCCTTGAGATGTTTGAAGATATCCATCACATCACCTCTCATCAGGAAATCAAAGAGTAGCTATAATTTGGATGTTGTTGTTGTCGTTCCCCTTCACCATAAGGTTAAAATATATTGGCGCTGTGGGTTAAACCACAGAGGCTAGCGCTTGCTGATCAGAAGGTCGGCGGTTCGAATCCCCGTGACGGGGTGAGCTCCCGCTGCTCGGTCCCTGCTCCTGCCAACCTAGCAGTTTGAAAGCAAGTGCAAGTAGATAAATAGGTACCGCTCCGGCGGGAAGGTAAACGGCGTTTCCATGCGCTGCTCTGGTTCGCCGAAGCGGCTTAGTCCTGCTGGCCACATGACCCGGAAGCTGTACGCCGGCTCCCTTGGCCAATAAAGCGAGATGAGCGTCGCAACCCCAGAGACGTCCTTGACTGGACCTAATGGTCAGGGGTCCCTTTACCTTTACCTTTAAAAAGAATACAGAAAATTACGTTCCTTCCTTGATTTTTGAGTTGCAACCACAGGATGCCAACCTTGGCCTGATACTGCATAAAAGGTAAAGGTAAAGGTACCCCTGCCCGTACGGGGCCAGTCTTGACAGACTCTAGGGTTTGCGCCCATCTCACTCAAGAGGCCGGGGGCCAGCGCTGTCCGAAGACACTTCCGGGTCACGTGGCCAGCGTGACATCGCTGCTCTGGCGAGCCAGAGCCACACACGGAAACGCCGTTTACCTTCCCGCTAGTAAGCGGTCCCTATTTATCTACTTGCACCCGGGGGTGCTTTTCGAACTGCTAGGTTGGCAGGCGCTGGGACCGAGCAACGGGAGCGCACCCCGCCGCGGGGATTCGAACCGCCGACCTTTCGATCGGCAAGCCCTAG